CTGCCGTAGGTTACAGCCAGGCCACAAGAGCAGGGTCAGGAAGCCCTTTCCAAAAGGAGTAAATATTCCCTTCCCTTTTATTGTTTCACACAGACCATAATCGATCAGTCTTCTTATAACTTACTTGGGTCAATGAAGCAGGAGTTTCTCCCTATTATTTTGTGAAAATATAAAAAGCAAAGAAGCATAATAAGTAAATAAGAGGTGAACAAGTATAATTTTTTTAAACAGAAGAATTTTTCAGCCAATATGCATTCTTCTTCCTCATGTAGTCTTCTCTCAGAATACAGTCTTGATTCATGCTATTTTTATGAAATGAATCTGTTTTCACCACTTATTTGTTATGACCAGATTAAAAGAGAAAAGCCAGACAAAAAGCCACATTGTCTTTCTACTGAAAAAAGGAATACTCTTTATAGATAAGAGGCGGTTAAGGGGTTGAAAATCAGGTTTCCATGATAACCATGGTCTCAAGATTAATAGAATGTATAGTCTCAAGATTAATGAGATGTCATTGAGCATTTGACATCTTAATATTTCAAGGACTTCTTAAAAAAGAACCATCAAGGACATTTTGTGATGACTGGACACAAACAGAATAGTTAGAAGACAAAGAAAAAATATAAATGAAACACTAAGAGGGTTTCACTTTGACATGAAGTAGGATTTATAATCTTAAAATCTCCAAGTCAAATGTGTTACAGACACAATACAGAATCTTGTCTCCTACCAGCACCTGGGTCAATTGTGCCCTGTCCTTCAAAGCTTTAGAAGCTCACAGTCCCTGGTGTTAGTGATAATCATAACAGCAATGACTGGATAAAAGGTATATGTAGAGAAGCTTTATAAAAATTGTTAAATGAGTGAAAGAATATAGGATGTATAGACTGTACATCAAAGAGAATAGGATTTACCATTTACTGCCTCCATTCTTGGAAGGAAATCTTCGACTTCATTATCTGGTTCAAAAAGAACAGATACAAGCAGAGTCTGTTAATGTTATCTGCTTCTCATGCCAGGATTTCAGGTCTTATATGGAATATTTTCCTAATGGTCACCCAGACTAGAAGGACACATAGTTCTTATTCAGCCCCTACTTAAAATGTGAGTTGATTTGTACTTCCTTTGTGTTGGCTCCATGGCTTCCCCAGTGGGGAAGTTGGCTTACCCCGTTGGCTCAGTGGCATTCCCCATGAAATTAAGAACCATAGATCCAAGTCCTTTTAATTAGAATGAGGGGAAGTTCCAGGTTCCCTCATTTAAATTTTTAGTGTCAAACTGCCCTGTGTGCCCTTCATCATAATTGTTTTCCCTTTCTCCGCCAAAAAATGTATCTAAGATGAGTGACATTTGGCTTAAAAAATGGATGTATTTTTCAGAAGATGTCAGAGAAAGAGGAGTGAAGTGGGACAGTTACTCTTTGCACACTCAAGCTTAGACACTCTCATACAGCTAGAGATACTGTTGAGTGGTCGTCACCCAACTGAGGCTGAGTATGGATGGAAGGAAGTAGCTTTCCGCTACTTGTGAGGGAAGTAGCACACACAAAAGAGACTTCATGAAATTCCCCGGTGATACTTGGCATCCAGACTCAGTGGTGTGACTCTGAGGAAGCCTTCTGCAGCTACACACTCCAGGGGGTGTTTCTCAACTTAAATTGCTATTATTTTGAGCTTTTTATTTCTTCTTAGAGTCATTACATACTTTTTTGTTTAAGTAGTTATTTATTTTAGAGAAAGGGGAAGAGAGGGAGAAAAAGTGGGAGAGAGACATCGATGTGAGAGAGAAACATACATCGGTTGCCTCTGGCACATGCCCTGAGTGGGGACCAAACCCATAACCCAGGCACGTGATCTGACCTGACGGGGAATCAAACTGGCAACCTTTCGGTTCATGGGTCAAAGCTCAACCATCTGAGCCAAACCAGCCAGGGCCCTCTTTTGTTTAGTACTATTTCAATCCCATTTTCATTTACGTCATTGTATCAGTCAGAGTCCAACCAGGAAATAGGAAGACACAGGTTACTTGAAACTGAGGAAATTTAGTCCAGGAAATTGGCTACACGTGATGGAAGAGGCTGAGATGTCAACCAGACAACAGATAGTCATCCCAGAGAACAGTAACTTCAGGAAGTTGTGACCTCCTCTAGGTAGAATGATGATAAAGGAAGGAGAGTGTTACCAGAACCTAGGAGTGACCAGAAGAAGCTCAAGGACTTCTCTGTTCAAGGCAGAGAGAAAGGGAGAGAAATACCCCAGATTCTCTCCCTCCTTCTGCCTTCTAACCTCCCAGTAGTGCCTCCCATTGACCAAACCAGCTGGAGGCCAACTGATAAATAGAGCCTGGAAATACAGCTTCAGATGTTAGCCTCATGCAAACCAGGACAGGGTAGGGGAAAGGTAAACCACGGATTTGAGGACAAACAGCTCTCAACCAGCTTAGTCCTCTGTTCCCAGGATTAACCTTGTTCTGGAATTTATTAATGTAGAATTTTTAATCCAACCTTCCTTCATATTTTCACATATTTAGTTGATATAATGATATATTCATCATTTTTCCTTCTTTGTGTACATGCTAAATTATGCTGGCAATTATATGTAGGAATAACAAAGCATATAGCCATCAGCTGTGTTTTGAACTCATAAATAGTAACTATTTATCAGCTACCTTCATAGTTAACTAAACACTTTCATGTATACTATTGTATGATTCTCATTGCTATTATCCTCATTTTGTAGAAGGATTAACTGAGTTTTGGAGACATTATGTGAATTGCCCAGGGACAAATAAGAAATACAGGAACCAGAATTCAAATCCTGGTCTGTCTGGTTCTAAACTGCATAATCTTCCCATGCTCTCTCATGACAGAAAGAGTTGCCCAGAGGGTATAGCAAGAGTTTTTCTGGGCTATTTGACTAAGTTTAGGAAAAAGAAAAAAATATGTTTTAAATTTTCAAAAATTGTCTTGTTGACCCAGAAATTAGAATTACACTTTGGGCATAAATGACACTGGGCCTATATAACACTCCAGTCTAAAAGTTACATTCTTCCTAAAGAAAATTGCACTCTCTCTCTGAACATATCTAGATTCATTAAAATGCATTTTCAGCATTTTAATTTATGGGGCTGGCTGTTCTGGAAGGATCAGTGTCACAACAAGAAGTGCTATCCCAAGTCTGACAGAGATGGTGAAGGAGGAGAGGAGGGAGCAGGTCCGTGGCTATCTCCCTACCTCTCCTCAATAAAACACAAAACAACCCCTGAAATTTGAATGTCAGATAAACAGTGATTTTTTTTTTTTTTTTAGTATAAGTGTATCCCAAATATTGCATGGGACATACTTATACTAAAATGTTATTTGTTGTTTGTCTGACATTCAACTGGTATCTTGGAATTTGCTTAGTCCAGCGACGTTATCTCAAGGTGGGCAGTGATCCCAAGGTTTCAGGTGTGTGCATGTGCATTGGGAGGATTCTGAGAACAGGAGCCCATATGGCTCTGTTTTTACCATCTGTGCCCTGCACATGCCATGAGGTGGCAACTCCTGCACAGGTGCAGAAGCAGAAGGAGGGCCTAGGAAGAGGATTCCGAGTATTGGGCAAGTACTGATGAATTCTAAATTGGAGGTTCCCTCTGTGGTAAGGAGAGCTGATCCTGATGTGAAGAGAAGGTTGAAGTTGATTTACCTGGTTTCACTTTGCTTTCCTGTTAGTGTGTTTTCGCTGGTAAGTATTCAAATCTGACCAGGAAGTTAAAATTAGCCCTAGAGAGTGTGTAAATGTGTTCAAAGAAAGGGAAAGAGGAAGGGGCCCTAGATAGCCAAGATGTGTCAGGCAGAAGGGTCCGTGGGATAGGTGAGGAGGTTCGTGTTAGCACTGGTACTCCTGGCCCAAGAGAAGACTGAAGAGCAGACTCTGTGGCCTTTCCAGGAAGACATCAAAGAGAGGATGGGGCAGTCCGAACGCTGGGGCCAGGCACTTGCCTCAGATTCTGAGGGATGCCAAGCTGGAAGGGATTCTGCTGGGCTATAAACTCTCCCACAGGGTAGTCAATTCAACAGCACCTGCAGTGAGAGAAATTAGTCTGGCTTCTCATCGTGGACCCCAGAGAGGGTGATCTGCTGGCTGTTTCTAGCCCTGCCACTAAGTTGATCTTGAAACTTGAATAAGCCCTTTATTATCTCTTTGTGTTCACCTGTAAAAATGTGATGGTGGAAGGTATATTACATTTATATTATGGTTCCTCTTAGCTCTGAAATCCTGTTGTTATATGTAGAATCTTAAGCTTTCTCCTGACTTCTGTTCCATGTGCACTGGCCAGGTAAGGGGACTGGTAATTCCACTTCAACAATAATCCTTATTGCACTAAAGATTGCTTTTTCATCTTCCCCTTAGTTGCTCCCTTATCCAGGCAAAATGTCAAAATCCTGTTTTCAAAGGGCTATACTCAAAAGCGTTAACCAGTGAGATCTACTCTTTTTTTAAAAGCCTCATGTCAGCAAAACATTTAGTAGCTCTATGAGACCAGAGGAAATGATTAATACTTCAATCCCTGTTCACCATTCATTCATTCAAAACGTATTCACTGAGCTCAGGTGATACATCAGGCAGATTTGAGCTTTGGGAAGAAAACTTCAGCAGCAGAAAACTTCATCAGAACAAAAGACATGCAAACTCTAGGTGACCTGAGACCTGGTTCCTCAAATCCTTTGTTTCTCATTTCTGTTGCTTGACTCTGGGGAGTTTTGGTGTTCAGCCACCTGTCCATCAGATGGTAGAGGCAAAATGAAAATGAGTTCTTACTGACAGTTGCAGCAAAAGGTTAAAAGTATTGGCTAATTTGAGTTATATAAAGACTCTATGGGCTTCCACCTGCCTGTAGCTGTGGACTTCCAAGACCAGACATAACTGGGAACGGGCAGTTTCTACTGAGAGTGCAAAGTAGCCCTCTGGGACATCTGTCCTTCTCTTACGCGCTTCTTCCTTGCCCTCTGTCCACAGTGCTGCACTTGAGATGGAGTTACTGCCTCTTTGGCTCTGCCTTGGTTTTCGCTTCTTGACAGTGGAATGGAGGTACTGCAGTGGAATGGCCACAGCTGCTTCGCAAAGGGGCTGCAAGTCGGTGAGTTTTCCCAGGAACCCTGAGTCATTTATTGCTCCTGTCCTGACAAGGTTTGGTCCATTTGGATGGATTGCCAATCAAGGAGGGCAGGGAATGAATGAATCTTAATCACTCTGTACCTACCCAGCATGATGCCATGTGCAACCTGCTCTTTAACCAAAGATTAAGATGATGCCTAGGAAAGGCTCTGCCCCACCTTTTTCATATCCCCTAAAGACACAAGGCCCTAGAGACAGGACTAGATTAGCCACCTGGAACAAAAACACCGTCTTAAAAATCTGGATGATTGAGCTCCACTAATGCTATCAGAATCTGATAATAGTGGGACCTATTGAAGTCAGAGACGCTCTGCTTCAGAGTTTGTGTCTGAGTTGATAGCAAATACTTAAAACGCTGTACTGAAGGCCCTGGCTGGGTAGCTCCGTTCGTTAAAGCATCCTCCTGATACATCAAGGTTGTGGGTTAAATCCTCTGTCAGGACACATACAAGAAGCAACCAATGAAAGCATAAATAAGTGAAACAACAAATTGATGTTTCTCTCTCTCTCCCTTCCTCTTCCTCTCTAAAAAAAGAAATCAATAAATAAAGATAAAACTAAAAAAGCTGTACTGAAGAGCATGCTGCCCATGTGCATTGTACTGTAACATCCTTGATGGCACTTAGGTTTAAGACAATCCAGGAAGGAGATACCTGAGCCTTTGTGGTCTACTCTCTTCAGGACTTTCTGCCTATATGTGGAAACAAACTGGCTTACAAAAACTAAGTACATTTCTAGAAATTTTCTACTTTGCCTGTAACTCAGTGATACAAAAAATCTGCCTGAGAAACACATTTTCTGAACATTCCTTGAGCCCTACTATATCCCGGGCACTGGGAAGACAAATTGGATGTCAGGGTTAATACTTATATTCAAAAGTGTGTACTTAAGGCTGAGGAATCTTAAAATCCCAGCGGGTTATAGTTCTTAACCACTTTTAGTAAATTCTAACCACTGCACTGTAGTGTACTCCAGCATGGGGCAGAGGTTATGAGCCAGACCAGGTTTAAATCTGAGTTCCACACTTACTAGCTGGTGAGAAAGGGGTCACCCTGTTTCTCAGTTTCTGCATCTGTAAAATATAGAGGTAATGATAGTACCAACCAATAATACCGTAACACTGGTTTTTATGATGATTAAATGAGTTAATGTATGTAAAGTGATCAGAACAGTGCCTAGAACATAGTAAGTGCTATTGGTATTATTGATTATTGATGTTGTTACTGTTGTTGGTCTCTGCTACACAGATTTCCATTGTTCTCTTACAGAGGCAATGAAAGGTTAAATTTGCAGAAGCTAATTCAAGAGTTGCCAGTCATAGGAAGAAGAGGGAATGAAGCATGAGATCTCTGGTCTTTCAGGATTCAGGCTAAACTCCCTGCCTGACCCTCTTCTAGCCTGGTGGGCAGGACTGGGGACTTCGCTGCCAGTGAACCCAAAGGGTGGATTTCCTGTGGCTTTTCTGAAATGAGGGCTGAGGGTTTGAGAGTCCAGATGCCCTCCATTGCCCCTCCTTGCCTTAGCCATGCGATGTTATCATAAGCTGGACATCATGAGGTCTTCTTGGGTTCTGATGGTCCCTTTGTCCTTTTGCAGCACTTCAGTGGGGCCAGGAAAAATTGCAAGGGTGTGACCCCCACAACTGCCACAACTGTGGTGAAGCAGGGTCTCACACCTTTAGGAAAGCCCCTAACCACAACATTCTCCAGAGAGGCCCTGTGCAGGGGAGACCAACACTTACTCAAATAAAGAAATACACCTGGTTTCTGTATGGGAAGATTTAATTTTGTAAATGTGTCAGTGCTTCTGCTAGGTACTCCATGATCATAATGCAGCCCCAATCAAAGTTCCAAAGACTTTTGGGGGTAAGGGGAGATATAGAAGGAACTTGACAAATTCATCTGGAAATGAGAACTCTCAATGCTCAACAGTAGATTAATTGATTAGTTCATGCTTACCATTATAGTTAACATTTATTGAGCATTTATATGCCAAGTTCTGTGTTAAGTGTTTTACATAAATAAGCACAATGAATCCTTATTACAAAAAACAAACAAAAAAAAACCCCCAAACACACACAAACCTATGAGAAAGTTACAAGTACAATTTCCATTTTACAGGTGGAGTAATGAAGATCCTAACTGGTTAGGTAACCAGACCAAGGTCACCGATTTGTTAAAGGGCAGAATCAAGATAAACTAACCCTAGAACTCTTGCTCTTAACCACTGTTCTGTTATGCGATGTATAGACAGTTGCTAAACAAAATGTGATCAAATTTGTTTTTATTGCCAAGGCAATATGTCTCTCACATATTACTAGAGTGGAGGTGAGGGAAGAGTAGATTACTGAATAATTTGTAGAGTGCAGTCGCATTTAAAAGTTTTTTTTTCAAGAAAACATAGGTAATAACTTTAGGAAAGTCCAGAAGGAAATGTAACAAAAGGTTAGTGGTGTTTCTTTGAGGGAAAGGCTGAGGTTACAGAAGAGTTTAATTTTCTGTATTTTTATATTGTATAAATTTTTAATTATTAGAAGGTGTTATTTTAATAATCAGATAAAGAAGCTGGGACTGTGAAAGGTTAATTCTTTGTCTAGGGTTCAAAGCTAATACATGGCAGGGCCGAGACTCCGACCTGAGTCTGTCATCTCTCCAAACCTGAGATTCCTCTTCTCTATAAGGATTTTTCTCCCCTTTTCCATTACTTCTCTTGCCCGCTGGGGTTGTGCCCACAATTTTAGGCCATCACAGGCCTTGTCCTTCCGGTCAATCTGTGCAAAGGAAAGCCATTGCTCTCCTATTTGTCGCTTAAAACTTTTTTCCTGCACACCTAATTAACATCCTGTAGCTGATTGTTTTTGCCAATCTTGTAAGACATTGGGCTGAGTTTATCCTGAGGCTTGAGTGACTTCTGCAATGAGACCAGGATCATCCCATCCCTCCTGCCTCCTTAGGCAGCACAACTGTGGGAGAACAGCATCCAGGAAAAGTTATGAGTTGGGCATTAAGAGCTCTGGGTCTGGTTCCAGCTCTGCCATTAACTCTCTACGTCTCTCCCGACCCCACTCTGTGCAGTTCAGGGTGATGATGAGCCATGAAGTCCTGTTAAGCTGGAATATATGTCAATCCAGAATGTAGAGGAATATCCCAGACAAAATTTCTTTGGGTGAAATGAAGATGCCACTGCACTGCCAGTTGTTAGGCAGTGTCCCTGTTAGACACATAGGTGTTATGGTAATAGTGTTCACAATGCACTAGGGACCGATTGCATTAATAGTGCCCACTGTGTGTGAGGCTCTGTGCAGCCTCTTATCTAGTCTCACTGCAATCCTCTGAAGCGGGTATTATCTCTACCTCCATTATTTAGAGGAAATACCAAACTCAAACTGAATTGTTTGCCCAAGGTCACATGGAAACAAGTGTCAGGGGTAGGATTCAAACCCCCTTGGAGACCTGGTCCTTAGTCCTCATAGCTAAAACCAAACTACAAATAACAGTTGTTACCACTCAGCGCCTAATAGACAGGTGCTCAGATCTTCTCTAAAATGCTGTGTTTTATTTATTTATTGCTTTTTTAAAAAAAATCCTCATATGTGGGATATGTTCGTATTGGTTTTTAGAGGGGGGGGGAGAGAGAGAGAGAGAGAGAGTAAAGAAGAGAAAGAGAGAAACATTGGTATGAGAGAGAAACATTGATTAGTTGCCTCATGTACATGCCCTGACTGAGGATCAGGCCTGCAACCTAGGTATGTGCCCTGACCAGGACTCAAACCCACAACCTTTCTGTGCACAGGAAGATGCTCCAACCAGCTGAGCCACCTGGCCAGGGCCATGCTGTGTGTTTTAAACAAGGCCTGAAACTCAGCTCCTAGTTGACTATTTTAGTGTGAAGGTAAAGAACAAAGAAAAGTTCCCTTTTTTCCTACAGTTTCTGATCCTTTTTTAAAAAAAAGGTTGTGATCTCTAGAGTCATTCCCAAAAGTTGCAGGAACAGTTTGATGAATGAACTAAGTTTTTGTACCCAGACTTCTGCCTCTGAGGCCTCCTCCCTGCTGACCACTGTGTTTTTAAACCTAGGTGGATGGCGTTGCTGACTGTCGAGGGCAGAACCTTGCTTCAGTGCCCAGCCATCTCCCTCCCCACTTGCAGATGCTCATCCTGGATGCCAATCCTCTCAAGACCTTGGGGAATCATTCCCTCCAGCTTTACCCTCTCCTGGAGAGCCTCAGTCTGCACAGCTGCCACCTGGAGTGCATTGGTCGCGACACCTTCCGGGGGCAGGCCCACCTGCACAGCCTGGCACTGCCTGACAATTCCCTCTCAGAGAGCTACCGGGAGACGGCAGCGGCCTTTCACAGCCTGCAGGCTTTACGGTGGTTGGACTTGTCAGGAAACTCCTTGACGGAAGACATGGCAGCCCTCATGCTCCAGAACCTGTCTTCACTAGAGTCTGTGTCCCTGGCAAGGAACACCATCATGAGGCTTGATGACTCTGTCTTTGAGGGCCTGGGGTACCTCAAGGAGCTGGATTTGCAAAGGAACTACATTTTTGAGATTGAGGGTGGAGCCTTCGATGGCTTGACTAAGCTGAAACACCTCAACCTGGCGTATAACAACCTCCCTTGCATTGTGGACTTCAGCCTCACACAGCTCCAGTCCCTCAATGTCAGCTATAATGCCCTGGAATGGTTTCTGGCATCAGTGGAAGAGGCTGCTTTTGAGCTAGAGACGCTGGACCTCTCTCACAATCAGCTGCTGTTTTTCCCACTCCTGCCCCAATCCAGCAAGCTGCACACCCTGCTGCTGCGGGACAACAACATGGGCTTCTACAGAGACCTGTACAACACCTCATCACAGCAGGAGATGGTGGCCCAGTTCCTCCTTGTGGATGGCGATGTGACCAACATCACCACAGTTAACCTATGGGAAGAGTTTGCTTCCAGTGACCTTGCAGATCTCCGCTTCCTGGATATGAGCCAGAACCAGTTCCAATACTTGCCAGATGGCTTCCTAAAGAAAATGCCTTCCCTCTCCCACCTGAACCTCAACCAGAATTGCCTGATGACACTCCACATCCAGGAGCATGAGCCCCCAGGAGCGCTAATGGAGCTGGATCTGAGCCAGAACCAGCTGTCAGAGCTGCACTTGACCCCGGGGTTCCCTGGCTGCCTGAGGAGCCTCCGGTTGTTCAACCTGAGCTCCAACCAGCTTCTGCGTGTCCCTACTGGCCTTTTCGCTGATGCCAATAACATCACTACAGTTGACATGAGCCACAACCAGATCTCACTTTGTCCCCAGCCAGCTGGCTTAAACCATGTGGGCGCCCCCAGCTGTGTGGATTTCAGGAATATGGCATCTTTGAGGAGCCTTTCTCTGGAGGGCTGTGGGCTGGGAGTGTTACAAGACTGCTCATTCCAGGGGACTGCCCTCACCCACTTAGACCTGTCTGGAAATTGGGGGGTTCTAAATGGGAGCATCGCCCCTCTCCAGAATATTGCTCCCACCTTACAGGTCCTGTCTCTCAGGAATGTGGGCCTCAGTTCCAGCTTCACAGAGTTGGACTTCTCTGGGTTTAGGAATTTGAGGGACTTGGATCTGTCAGGAAATTCCTTGACCCACTTCCCAAGGTTCAGGGGCAGCCTGGCCCTACAGACCCTGGATCTCCGCAGGAACTCCCTCAGAGCCCTTCCCCAGAGGGCTGTTGCTGTGCAGCTCACGACAAGTCTGCGGGCCATCTACCTCAGTCAGAATCCGTACGACTGCTGTAGGGTGGAGGGCTGGGCGGCCCTGCAGCATCTGTCCCCCATCGCAGACTTGGCCATGATCACTTGCAACCTCTCCTCCAAGGTCATTCGCCTGATGGACCTGCCCAGAGGCGTGCCTCAGGACTGTAAGTGGGAAAGCGTGGACATGGGCCTGCTGTACCTTGTGCTCATTCTCCCCAGCTGCCTCACCCTGCTGGTGGCCTGCACTGTCATCTTCCTCACTTTTAAGAAGCCTCTGCTTCAGGTGATCAAGAGCCGCTGCCACTGGCCCTCCATATACTGACCTGGCTACAATTTAAGGTTAGAAATTTGGTCTGTGTGTGACAGATACTTTCTCAGCCAGATTTCAAGATCTGATACAGAAGACAAGTCTGATGAATTGAGCTTTAAATTAAAGTATAAAATGTTTCCATTCCTTAGTCACCCCAAGTTCTTCCTTCATCATTATGATTCGTCCTTATCATCCTGGTCAAGTATTTATTAATTGACATTGTACAAAAATAAAAAAACATATCTCATAAAAAAATTTTTTAAATCAAACCCAGCTTGTGTGTTTTCTTTCTTTAATGTTTTTTTGTAATTTGACTGAGGCTATTTTTCAGTGCCCTTTCCTTGATGACATCCATGGAGCTGGTGGGAAAGGGTGGCGATTCAGTGCTACCCTATGGCAAAAACAACTTGAAGAGCATGTGTCCGCTGGGTGTGTGAGAGTCAGTGCCCTGGGAATTCATCAAGGGCTAGAATTTCAGAGCCGAGCTAGGGGGTCGGACGTGAGAACTGTCACCTATCTCGGCTCGCATCACCACTGCAGCCAGAGTGGGCCTGCGAGAGCCCTCTGCAGGTTCATACCTCGAGTTGTTGGCTGGCAAACATGACTCTTCCATGTTTGAAAAGCTAGCAGAGCAATAATCCTGAGTTTGTTTGTGTAGTCAACTAAACACCAGCACAGTCCTTGTTCTGAGAGAAAGTAAAGAGGAATGCAGAATGAAGTGAATTCTGTTGATTTGTGGATTACCCCTCCTCTTCACAAAAAACCCACAAGCGACTTCTCAGCAGTTGTTCCAGATCTGTACTCACTGCGTTCCTCATTTCCTTCCTCCTTCCCTTCCCTCCATGAGTAGTGAACAATTTCTGAGGAAAAGATAATAAAGACACAGTTCTTGCCTTTTTGGGTAGTTTAGAGTTTACACTGTCCTTGCACCTTTTATCCCTGCGTATTAAATCATAAAGGGACTAAAGGCAGGGTTGGGACGGGGTGGGGGGGGGGAGGGCAGAGGAGGAGGGATAGAGAGGATAGAAATCCCACAAACTGATTACTAATACTATGAATCCTAACGTCAGTGGAAATGTTTAGGCAAGTCAAAGAGATCAAATCAGTGGTCTTTCTTTGATAAAGCCAAAGCTTCCCTTGGGTGCTCTACAGGGTATGAGCAAGGCCCTGTCAGTAAGGCTCCACACACAGCAGACTGGTGGCAACCGTGCTGACTTTGCTCTTACTGCACCTCCATCCTTCCTGTCAATTTGTCTCCATCGTGCACTGCCCTGGCCTAGTACCTTGGATGCCCCTCAGGTTGCTTTGAAGCCATGTCCAAATGTCCTGCTGGAAGAGCCCCATCAGCCAATATCCATAAGGCTAGACTCTCCTTATTTCATACTTTCATCCACAAAAACTCTTTCCTGGGGTCCTGTTATTTCCCAACATGACAGCTAATTAGACAAATGAATCTATCTGTGGCTGCTACATTTATGACTTTTCTTGAGTTAATGTGTGACCCCTTGTATCAGTCAGTGTTCTTAGATTCTTGCAACTGAGGATGACTCTGTCTGATTTAAGCAGCATGGGGATTTAGTAAAAGGATGTAGGGGATCTCTAGTTCTCTGGGGAGGCTGAGGAACAGACTTGGGAAATGGGCAGGAGTGGGCACGCTACGTAGTAGCTGGAACCACCGGCCAGATCGCACCATAAACAGTAACATCCCTTACTGCTGGACACCACCATTTGCACTGCTACCACTGACAGCTCTGCACAGGGCCACTGCCACAGGGTGACCGCCACTCCTGCCGCCCACTGCCGAAGTAAACACTCTCCCAGATTCTGCTGTCCTGTGTCACCAGCTCCCCAGGTGCAGTTTGGAGCATGTGGACTTGGTTGGTCAACCCTAGGTCCTATGCCTCCGACCCCCGCCCCCCAACTATGAGAGGGGCTGAGACAGCAAATGCTCCACCTTCTGCTGAGGTTTCTATAGTAGAAAATGGGCTAGGCTTCCTAGAAATACTCATAAGGGGTGGAGTTCTCAAAACAGAAAGGGAAGTTTGGTGTTGAGAAGACAAAAGAAAGACAAATGTGCACCACACCCTTTTAGGCAGCGTGCACATTTCAGCAGAGGATTTCTTAAAGCAAATTCTTAGCGTAAAGGAATTACCCAAGTGGGGGAAACTTCAGGCAGGCTCTCAGGCCAACAAGAGAGATAGTAGGGGTCAGACAGGCCTTCTGAAGCCAAAAAGTCCATTTGTTTTTTCTCGATAACATGGCTCTAGTAGTGCTTAGTTGTCTTTAACTTCATTTGAAACAATTTTGTTAGATTGTTTTGTGACAGCTGTCCTATCAGCCTGCTTAAAAAAACAAAACAAAACATCAAAACCGGTGAATTTTTGGTAGCCATTTTAATATTGAAGATGGAAGAAAATATGCAACATTTTTGGCATATTATGCTTCATTATTTCAAGAAAGGCAAAAACACAACTGAAACGCAAAAAAGATTCGTGCAGTGTATGGAGAAGGTGCTGTGACTGATCAAATGTGTCAAAAGTGGTTTGCGAAGTTTCCTGCTGGAGATTTCTGGCTGGATGGTGCTTCACGGTTGAGTAGACCAGCTGAAGTTGACAGCGATTAATTAAACTGAGACATTAATTGAGAACAATGAACATCATACCATGCAGGAGATAGCTGACATACTCAAAATATCCAAATCAAGCCCTAAAAATAATTTGCACTAGCTTGGTTATATTAATTGCTTTGATATTTGGGTTCCACATAAGTTACAGAAAAAAAAAAACCTCCTTGACCATATTTTCTCATGCAATTCTCTATTTAAACGTAACAAAAATATTCCATTTTTAAAACAAATTGTTAGAGGTGACAAAAAGTGGATACTTTACAATAATGTGGAACAGAAGAGATCATGGGGTAAACGAACCAGCACCAACCACACCAAAGGCCAGTCTTCAACCAAAGAAGGTGGTATAGTGTATATGGTGGGACTGGAAGGGAGTCCTCCATTGTGAACTCCTTCTGGAAAACCAAACAATTAATTCCAACAAGTGCTGCTCCCAGTCAGACCAACTCAACGAATAGCGTCCAGAATTAGTCAACAGAAAAGATGTAATCCGTCAGGATAATGCGAGACTGCATGTTTATTTGACGGCCAGGCAAAACATGTTACAACTGGGCTGGCAAATTCTGATTCATCTGCTGTGCTCACCAAACATTGCAACTTTGGATTTCCATTTGTTTTTATCTTTACAAAATTCTCTTAACGGAAAAAAAAAATTCAGTTGAAACACTGCAAAAGGAACAGTTCTTTGCTCAAAAACAGTTCTTTGTGGAAAGATGGAATTAGGAATGATGAAGTTGCGTGAAAGATTGCAGAAAGTAGTGGAACAAAACAGTGAATACACTGTTCAAGAAAGTTATTGGTGAAAATGAAAAATGTGTCTTTTAGTTTTATCTAAAATCAAACGAGTGTTTTGGCCAACCCTAGCACACCACCCATTCTATCTGTACTTAGGGCCTAGCCTTGCAGAATGTTTATGGAGAAGACGTTAGGACAGGGCCCTCCTCTTGCTTGTGGCAGTGACTTCAGAAGGCTTTTCTTGGTTGGTTAGTCCATTGCTAGGGTCCAAAGGCTGTCCCCCAGGTTTCTCTCAGTATGGCAATAAAGACAAAAGGAGCAGGTAGATTTCTGTCTCCATTCCTGAACTGTGGATTCTCCAGCAAATTTATACTTTTGTCCTCCTTCACTCACCCCTACCTCCACCTACAGGAGAAGAATATATTCTAACGTCCACTCTGAGAGTGCTAGAGAGGGAGGACTCACAGAGCCTAGTCCCAGAGTTCCCTGGTGGGATGAGAATGGGTCTGCCTAAGGCTTTCCATGCAGCTAGATTGAACACTAAGTAATTCTTCCTCCGCGGATGGGAAGTGGGGGCTACCTCCAGCTGCCTCATACCAGAATACCAAGACAGGAGATTATTCAAAGATGTATCAAACATAAATAATGGCAGAGACTGGACTGTTAACATGAGTAACAATAATTCAGATTTTGAAAATCTAGTCGTAAAACAAAAACTTAAGATTTTTCCTTTGGCATAAAGTTATTAGGGGCCAACTAATTGTTTTAAGGACCCCAGTTCTAAGAAATTGGATATTCCATAATCTTTGGTTCATAATACTGGTCATCTTTGGTTATCATTGACCCACGCATGGCCCATTTTTATCTATTTAATATGTCAGTTATCTTCCATTTGCCCCTCTGAACCCACTCTTCACCCTCTTCTGTGCTACTGCAGAAGGCTGGCCTCACTGGACTCCCTTGCCCTCTGGCATCCAGCTGTATTTGCCTAATGAGTCTTGGCAAATCAGAAAGAAGGGGAAAAATGAGATCAAGGTATTTATGCACCTGACTCCTCCCTGTGGATTTGTCTCAAACTGATTGCACTTAAAGACCACAGTCCTCTCAAGGCAGCCCTTCCTACACAGAACCCCTGTGCCTTGGAGTTCTAGGAACTACTCACTCCACAGGCTCCTCCCCTCTGGGTTTTGGGACACTACATAGCTCTGTCATTACCAGCCCTGTGTAACTGCATTATCCCTTGTGGTGCACCTTTCCCTGCCTCCCCATTTGTAAACCATCCCCCTGTAAATCCTCCTCAGTTATTCTTGTTTGAATGGTGTTCCTGTGTTCAGCCATCTGGTTCCTGCTCAGACCCCCAGTTATGCAGTGATTATTTATTTAGTAATAGTGATCCAGAGAAATCCTGATACTTGTATCAGGGAGTCACAGAAGGATAAAAACTCAGCCAGAGGCATAAAAGCAAATCCCCTGGAGATAACTGTCCCTCTGATTCCTTATGGGTGAACATGAGGAAGAAGCTGGACATGACTAAGTGTCACATGTCATCATCTTACAAATATATTCAGATGTAACTCAAGTGGAGAGGAAGAAGTTTCCATCTTTGGAGACCTTCTTTAAAAGAGTGTGGGTGTTGTGATGGCATCAACCCACACAGTAAGAATCACCAAGCATAGGACCTAGCAATCCCACTGCTGGGTATTTAACAGAGAAATCGAAAACACTAATTTTAAAATATATATACACCCCTAAGTTTACTGCAACATTATTTATAATAGGTATGGAGTCAACCTAGAT